GGACACAGGGGAGGAGGGAGGGAAGGACACAGGGGAGGAGGGAGGAAGGAGAGAGGCTCTGTTTCCTCCCCCCTTCTGGCCAGAGCTTCATGAGCTTCCCCTCGAGCATCAGTGGCAGGCACCTTTAATACTGTGTCTCAGTAGCCGACAGCAAGCATACAAAGGAAAGTCTGCAGCTTCAGGACTCTGATAATCATCGCCAGCGTTCAGATGCCCTTTAAGGTTTGCAAAGCACTTTACGAATATTATCCTCACAACAACCCTGGGAGGGAGCTGTTATTATTATCCCCATTTTACCCATGAGGAAATTGAGGCAGTCAGAAGTAAAGTGATTTGCTTAGGGTCACCCAGCTAGCGAGTGTTTGAGGCTGGGTTTGAACTCAGGTCTCCATGACTTTTGGGCAGGTAGGTGGTGCCGTGGATAGTGCACTGGGCTTGGAATCAGGAAAACTCATCTTCCAGAGTTCAAATACAGCCTTAGACACCAGCTGGGTGATCCCAGGCAAGTCACTTAATCCTGTTTGCCTCCATTTTCTCATCTGTAAAATGAGCTGGAGAAAGAAATGGCCGGCCACTCCGGTATCTTTGCCAAGAAAACCCCAAATGGGGTCACAGAGAGTCAGACACAGCTGAAACACAGATAAACAACAACGACAACTTCATGACTTCAGGTCAGATGCTCTACCCACCATATCACTTAGCTACCTTGGTGGTACCTACCCTTAAGGACTGCAGGAGGGCTTCCCAAAGGGAGAAAAAGAATCCTGGAATCCAGGCACTGCGAATGACTTGGCCACATGCTCTCGGAGCCCTGTATTCCATGGTTCTTGGGGGAGAGTGTATCCCAGAGTTTTTTGGGGTGTGTGTGTGTGAGACAGAGAGACTTAGCTGTACTTTGGTCCTCTAAGCCTTAATACCCCTTTGTAAAAGCTAACTAATGTTAATTGATAATGGGGCAACTTCAGAGGGTCAACGATACTGGGAATCGCCCCAGAGCATGTTGTTCAAAAGTAGCAAGACTAGAAGCTGGAGGACAGAAGTCGCTGCGCCCTTGGGGGACCCAGCCTAACTGGGAGAGAGAGAAAGGAAGACCAAGAAAGTCGCCCCAGCCCCTGCGATTACACAGGGTTCTAGACTGAGGGCTGGCAGGGACCCCGGACCCCTTCATCTCACAGATGAGGAAACTGAGGTCCAGGGAGGTGAAGGGACAGGCCACAGAGGTGGTGAGCATTAGAGATGGAACTGGAAACCCGGGTTCTCCGAGACTAAAACCGATGCTTTCCTTTCCTCCTGGACCACCCTGCCTCCCAGAGCAAAGGAGAGCAGAAGGGTTCCCTGGCTTGCCTCTCTGAACGCATCAGCTTTCTTTGGCTGCCACAACACGTTGCTGACTCATATGGAGCTTGCAGTTTCTTCAATGTTTTTTCGTATCGAGCTCCATCTCCTTCATTCCGAGTTCATAACAGTTGCTTTGTTGGAAGTGAGGGCACAGCACCCATCCAGTCATCACTAGTCTTTGAATAGTTTTTCAATGAGTCATGAATTCATCTAACTGTATACTCGCACATGCTACATCTCGGCACCTGGAGCCTTTGGGGTTTTTTCCTGAAATCCATCTATTATGCATTGACAGCCTGGCAGTCAGTGAATTGGCAATGAAGGAAGTTCATTTAGGCTGGCATCCTTTGTTCCGGCTCCTGGCAATGACCACTCCTCGTTCCAGGGGTTCCCGGACTATGTTTGAGAATATATTCTAGAATTTTGATGGGCATTTGTATCCAGTCCATCAGCCTATATTTTCCAGAACCGTGTTTCTCTTTCAATCAATCACCAATCAATCCACATTTATTAAGCTCCTACTATATGCCAGGCACTGTGCTAAGTGCTGGGGATACAAAAAGAGGTTAAAAGACAGTGTGCCCTCAGGGAACTTTTCAAGAAGTAGGGCACTCTTTCTGACCCGGTTTCTCCTCAGAGTTTACGAACAGCTTTAAAATCAGATGCGCAAAATAGGTCCAACCAGCTACACTCCCAGCTTCCGATTTTGTCATGTACTGTTTGCTTGTTTGCTTGTCCTGCTTGCAAAAACAGCGGCTGAACCAGAATGGATGGTGTCGGCTTATGTCTGGCTGGCTGTGGTTTCTAAGTGTGTGTGTGTGTGTGTGTGTGTGTGAGAGAGAGAGAGAGAGAGAGAGATATCTTGATAGAGCTGCAGAGGCAATGCAGTGGGGATTAAGGTGCCTGGGCACTTCTCAGCATGTGTTTGAGTGGCTCTGTGTGTGGAGGGTGCCTGTAGGATGGGGGTGCTCTGGCAGGTGTATAGGAGGAGTGGATGTGGAAAGAGTGGGGGTGCCTTTGGAGAGATGTGCCTGGAGGCTGGGTAGCTCAGTGTGTGGTATTGCTGAGTGGGTGTGAGATCTGAGTGGGTTGTAATGGTATGTACAGGAAGAGGGGTCCTTTGGAGTGTGTGTGGGGTCTGGACATCTGAGGGTGTCTCTAGTGGGATGGGGGAGACTATGAGACTGCACACCTGCTTGTCTCTGTATACGTGTATGAGCTGCATCTTGTAGTGTTTTATTACCTTTTACCTTATATACGGTCCTAGATTTAGAGCTGGGAGCCTCCCCCCCTTTTACCAATGAGCCTATAGAAGTTAAAAATACTACATTTAAATGACCCCACACCTGGTAGAGCTGCAATTTGATTCCTGGTCCTCTGACTTCAAAGCCAGTGTTCTTTCCACGAACACTCTGGGCAAAGAAACCGATTTTGGCCTCAGTTTTTTCATCTAAAAAATGGGGCTCATAATAACACCTATCTCCCAAGATTGTCATAAGGACCATGTGAGGTAACATATGTTAAGTGATCTGCAAATCTTCTATAAAGTAGCTAGGTTGTGCAATGGATAGACTGCTGGGCCTGCAGTCAAGAAGACCTGAGTTCAAATTCAGCCTCTGACACTCACTAGCACTGTGACCCTATGCTAGTCACATAACCTCTGCCTGCCTTAGTTTCTTCAACTGTAAAAAGGGCATAATAATAGCACCTACCTCCCAGGGTGATTTTCAGGATTGGAAAGTTCCTGACAGGTAGTAGGCACTATAGCTAATGTTATTATTCTGTTAGCTATTATAATTTATTATTAGCTCTTACTGCATTATACCAAGATGTTTTGGAATGGGGTGCGTGAGTGACCTTGTGTCTGTGTGTTCGGGTACATCTCTTAGCACTGTGATAATACTAGCCTGAGGGAGCGTGGGGTCTGAGTGTTTGTCTCTGAGGGTGTTGGACCAGTAGGCAGAATAAGTATGTCACGTTGAGTGGCCATAGGGGTCTGTGTGCACGTCTGTGTCTGGGGGAGATGTACCTGGCATCTCTCGAGTGGGTGAGTGGTGCCTGTATCTGCGAGCATGACTGACCTGCTTGAGATATGTGTCCCTGGAGGCTCTGTTGGAACAATGTGTGTAGGGACAAGAGGGAGGCCTCTTCAATTTTCGACGGAGCATGTCTGCATGGGGTGTGTTGAGTGTCTGGGGGGGGGGGGTCTGGGTCTGTGCATCTCTGATTATATTGGAATGGCATGTTCAGGAAGAAAAAGGTGCTTCTGAGTGTGTGTGTGGGTGGGGTCTGGGCATTTGGATATCTACGAGGGGCTCGTGGGTGGCTCTGAGAGTGTTTCGTATCTGTGTCTCCAACTGTGTGTGTTCTCTGAGCTTGCCAGCCAGTGTGTTTGCATGGGAAGACCAGGAGTCTCTGGGTGTGTGCGTGGGTGTCCCCAGCGTGCATGTGACCCCCATCTCGAGTGTGTGCCTGGAGGAGGAGGAGCCGGGCTGTGTGTGTGGGCCCAGGTAGAATGATGGATGTGTGAGGACAGGTGGTGCCCTGACCCTGAGGCGGAGGGCATGCACGGGCATCTCGGGGCCTGTCTGTCCTGGGTGGAGGCTGTGTCTGCCAGCGTGCTTGGGCACATCTGGCATGCGTGGCTCTGGGGCTGCCAGGAGGGCTGGGGGAGGCCCGCGCACCTGGGGGGGGCTCCCCCAATTAGACTGGGAGGCCACCGAAGGCGGGGACTGACTTCTGCATTTCCCTGCACCCCCGGAACATAGCACGAGGCCTGGCACAGATCAGGTCCCCGAGTCAGGACTGTCTCACTGCACTAGGGCGCCGCTGCACACCACCGGGGTAGGGTGGGGGAACTTGGATTCCTCCCGCAGAGCCGCGCGGCGCATGCGTGGCCTCCTATTTCTGGGTCTGGGTCCAGGGCGTGTATGTGGCGGGCGTATGTCTGTGCCCGCCTGCAGGGGGCGCCCGCGTGGGCGGGCGGCGCCTCCCGGCGCATGCGTAGCCCGGTCTCTCTCGCTTCCCGTCAGTAGGGGGTGCGTGGGTGCGGTGGCCGTCACCCCGGACCTAGGTCCTCCTTTCGGCCTCCTCCCTGCCGTTCTCCCTCAGACCCCTCCTCAGGTCGCCGCGGCCCCTCTCCTCATCCTAGTCTGCGTCTTCGTCTTCCTCCGCCCCAAGTCTCCCGGGCTGCGGCGTGTGCGCGTGCGCGTGCGCGTGCGCGT